GAGACGTACTGCCGCAGCAAGCCTCAAAACCCACCAGCAGGGTCCATTGATTCCGCGCAGTACCATTACCGCAGGCCGCAGCAGCAGCAGCAGCCGGGGTAGCTGCGGTATCGCCCTTGATGGGCCGCAAATCACGTGCTAAAGACTGCGCGCGGGTCCATCGACGCTGCGCAAGGTTGTCGATGTACGGAGTGTTGAGACACTCAACAGCCAGGTGGGCGGCAAAGGATGTGAAACAGCAGGACGAAGGCGCTGTCTATTCGGAGGGTTATTTGTCGTCGCAGGTACTCCCAGCACTGGTGTCGATGCCAGCACCAGCGAGCAGATCCAGGGGCCCCCCAATGTCGCTGCATCGCTGTCGCCAGTTGCTGGTTACCAGCGCATCAACACCGATGCTGCGCAACCTGAACGAGCCGACGCTGATGCATCTTATCGACCGATCCAGCGACGAGGACACATGCTGCCGCACCCGCACCAGATGATGGAGGGTTTACACATGCGCCAGCGCCCGCACAGCCTCAACACGCTCAACAGCTCGTCCTGCCGGCTGTCGATTATCACCATAGACCAGGACTACCAGGAGTACTCGTATAAGAACAACTCGCAGCGGGTTGTCCGCCCGAGTGTGATCCGCGGCTGGATGCGGCGATTCGGCGGGAAGATGAAGGTATGTTTTTGTTTTCTGCTGGCGGGATCTGGTTTCAGGTCTTGATGTTGTTGATTTCTGGCTGCTCTCCCTGTTTCGTTCCCGCCCCCAATAGAACCTGCTCTGCCTAAAAGCAGGGGTATTTGTTTTGCAGAGCTGGCTCATTTGCGAACGTACTGGCGCATACTCCGGGTCATTTGCCTTGGCAGCAGTCCTATTTTTAAAAATAGGAGGTTCCATCTCCCTTTTCCTTTGTGGGCGCTGACCTGTCGTCGCTGTGTCTGGCCTGGGTGCTCAAAAGAGCATGGATCCTTCTCCCTCGCTGCTCCCAACCGCGCTCATCCTGCGACAGGGTCGGGGCAGCAGCACCTGAAGTGCTGGGCTGTGGCTGTGTGGTCCGATGCAGAATGATCCTCCTGCTGACAAAAAGACCGCGTCGGCCAGCATTGGGCCAGTATCGATCCGAGCGCATTCTGCTACTATTTTTGATAGCATGCGGTATGGTTTTTTTTATTGCCGGCAATTGGATTGCCGCCCCCACCCACGCACGCTAATTTCCCATTGCGCTTTGGCATGCGCGCCACTGCTCTGTAGTATTCGTTTGGCCAGCTCTTTTGCCAGCCCCAGCCTCATCCTCGACGGCAATCGCGACATTGCACGTGGGACAGCGCAGATGAACCTATCGCGGCACCGGCGAACCAGCGCTCCTGGTGCCGCAGTCTGAGAGCAGGCGTCTGTCGCGCACCCTTACACGCAAGAGTACCACAAAATCGACACAGGGCTCGGACACGTCGGCCGAGGCGCACGAGAGCAAGCACAAGCGCACCAAATCGCAGGCACAGGCGCTGCAGACCGGGCGGCGCGTGTCGTGGGGAGAGAACTCGGACGGCACGCCGGCCGCACAGCATGGACGGCAGGCTCCGGCAGAAGCCCCGCATGTCGGTGATTGAAATGGCAGCACTGGCCGCGGACACGGCCGTCGAGATGGAGCTCGACTCGCTCTCCCAGGCACTGCATCGCGCAACGCATCGCGGGCTAACAGCATGTATCCGCCGGTCCCGGCAATTCCGGCGTCGGCAAATACGCCTGGGTCAATGCGGAGTATCCGGAGCAACTCTGAGACAACCGATGTTTCGACGAACGTATCGCGGACTGCTTCTTCGCCGGCGATCTCGTCGAGCAACAAGTCCGAGGGACTGTTGTTCCAGGGAGCCCCGCAGACAGCCGCATTCTGGGCAGCAGCGATATGTCGCCTAGTGCGGAGAAGACGTGTGTGTCGCTGACCTCGTCGTCGTCGATTTCGTCGGCTGCATCGAGGAGCCTGTCACTATGCGCCGCCATATGGTGGCTGCACGGGCGCCAACCGCCCTTGCTGCATAGACATCATGCGCTGTTGGACGGAAAGTGGATTGGCCCCTGCCACTATCATCTGTACTGCATTGTCACGGCAGCAGCTCGCACACCTACGTTCTGCTCTGCAGCCGCCCACGGCTGCCATGTATCACTTCCACCACTCAGTATCGTGGTGTCTTCCAACCTCTCTTTCAACATAAATAGCTTTTCCTGTTTGCTCCTTTGTTTCTACAATACCCATACACTAGTTCCTTCCCTTCCACGCCAGGAAGGTGCAGCTGCGGCTCGGCGTTATGCAAGTACTAGATGATGCCTGCTTCCAACTGCATTTGCAATACTCGTGCATTCGGTGGAAATCATTCGCGCACTGCACATTGCTAGCAATGGCTCAGGGAAAGTGGCCCGTTCACACCCATGCATATGCGTGCTGTGAAGGAGAGAGGGCCAATCCCCACACTCGCCATGCGCTGCCCATGCGCTGTGTCCATCCCTGCGCAGCACCGCTGGTGGTATCAACGCCTCTGTCAACTGTCTCCGCAAATCGCCTCCCACCCCTCTCGACTGCTACGAGGGGATGAGTGGCAGCAGCGTGGAGACCAGTAGCATGGGTGCGACTGGGGAAGGAGATATGAGCACCCTTGACGGCTAGCTGCCGCTATTTCTCCAGTGGCGGCAGCACACGTCGTTTCATAATGAAAACATGGTCTCAAACCACGAACTATGTCTCCCTTTTCTAACCGACACTAATATATTTCGCAGACCCAGCATATTTGTGGTATTGCTCGAAGCGCTGAAGCGCAAAAATGATGTACGCGAGACATGTGTGCATGTGGGTAGCCATCGTGGCGGTGCCACAGGTAACTTTCTCCATGTGTTTGGTGATCCAGCTCTCTGCTTGAGCGTCTGAGACAAAAGGGAACATTGGCGGCGGCTATCTTTCTCAATTGCAAACTGGGGATATCATATATGCCTGGCATTTCTCCAGCCCGTACGAGGCCACCGAGCCTACAAAGAAACGGCCACAACTCCCTCCTCCCCCTCCCGCAGTGACACTAGCCTTGCATATATACATTACTTTACGTCTGCATACCATTTATATTTATTGCCTGCATATCATTATAATATCCACCTGGTCTATCGCTGAGCTTGTGGATGCCAATGAATACGCAGTCCAGCGATGACCTCGCCCGCCACAATGATGGCGTGGCATTTACCACCGAGAGTCTAGCAGCGCGGCTCGAGGCCAGGTTTGTGACCAAGCCAGAGCCGCAGACGTTCACGTACCTGGGCAGTCGCTTTTTGATCTCTGTTAACCCGTATGAGGCACTGGAGTCCCAGAATGACTCGGCTGCAGCGATGTACGCGGAGGACTATCGTAACACGTCAGGGAAGCGCAAGGGCACACCGCCGCATGTGTTTGGGGTTGCAGCCAATGCCTATTTGCATATGCGCCAGACAGGGCTGAACCAGTCGCTTGTGTTTGCGTAAGTATTTAAGCAGGAGGTGGGGTCGGGCATTGGTTGGACATAGTGCGGACACGAGGGGAGCGTTCCTGATGTAGGCGTCTCTGTTTTTGGCTCCCTGTCGCACAGGATGATGCAGATAGCGTGCTAACATAAATGTGCATTGTAGTGGTGAGACTGGTACAGGCAAGTCCGAAGCCAAGCGCCTGGCTGTCCGCATGCTGTCGTTCCTGCGCCCGCATGCGCGGCGCGACACGCAGCTGTTTGACAAGATTGTCGAGGCTGAAATCATCTTCGAGGCCTTTGGCAACGCAAAGACGACGTTCCACGCCAATGCCTCCCGCGTCGGCATCTACACGGAGCTGCAGTTCGACGAGCTGGGCCGTGTGGCCGGCGCCAAGTGCTGCGACTACATGCTTGAGCGCACGCGTGTGACACATGTCCCCGACAACGAGCGCAACTACCACGTACTCCACTACTTGGTGAATGGCGCACAGCCCGAGGAACGCACAACGTTCGGCTTGACGCAGACCAACTACGAGTACCTGTGCCGGCCCGGCACAATCCAAAGGCTGCCGGGCATCGACGACGCCGCGCAGTTCCAGGATCTGCGCATGGCGATGCAGTCGCTGGGGCTGCGCGACAAGTACCAGGAGTTCATCTTCCGCACGTTGGCGGCCGTGCTGGAAATCGGCAACATCCAGCTTGAGGACCAGAAGGACACGACGGCGGCTGAGGCCGCGTACGTCAAGAACGGTGATCTGCTCGACCACGTTGCGCTGCTGCTGGGCGTGGACCCTGGGAGTTTGCAGCAGGCGATCACGTACCATACGCGTATGATCGGCCGCGAGCTCTGCACGGTCTACCTGGATGCTGCCGGGTCGCGTGTGCGCGGCGACTCGCTGGCGCGGCATCTGTATGCCCTGCTGTTCACCTGGCTTGTCGAGAAGGTGAACAGCACGCTCGAGTGCAGCGCCAACGTGTACAGCAGCCACATTGGCCTGCTGGATCTGCCCGGGTTCCAGAGCACCAAGCGCAACTACTTTGAGCAGTTCATCTACAACTACGCCAGCGAGCGCATCCAGCACTTTATGAACCACCACATATTTGATGTTGGCAGCGAGGAGTACATGTCGGAGGGCGTCGACCATATCCTGAACTCGGCCAACTACAACGACAACACAGGGTGTCTGGATCTGTTCATGAAGTCTGGGTCTGGGCTGCTGTTCATCATGGACAGGTCCACCAAGGCTAGCAAGAGGGACAAGGACCGCGTGGCCCGGACTGGGCCCGAGGGCGATGCCAAGCTGATCGAGCAGTTCAACGAGACGCATGGCGATGGCGACGAGAAGAAGTCCGGTGTCTCGTGGTATGCCATGTCTAAGCGCCACGGCGAGTTTGGCATCCGGCACTTTGCGCGCAAGGTCAGCTACGCAATCGACAGCTTTGCCGACAACAACATCGACTACCTGGGCGTCGACTTCTACACGCTGTTCCGCGGGATGCAGGCGTCTGATCTGCCGGCCACCGCCAACCCGTTCATTGCACGCATCTTCGACGACCGCGTGATTGTCACCGAGGGCCACCCGCGTCTGGAGAGCGCGATCATTGACGCGCAGCAGGTCATGATGCCGCTGCGCAGCCCATATACGAGCCACCCGCGGCCGCAGAAGAAGCGCAAGATCACCTGCATCGTGTCCCAGTACCAGCGCGCACTGACCCAGCTGATCTCGTCGCTCGATGAGACGCTGCCGTGGTTTATCCTATGCATCAACCCGAACGACCACCAGGAGGCGCGGCTGTGGGACAAGGAGCACGTCCAGCGGCAGATCACTGCCTACGGCCTGGCGGAAATCGCCCACCACAAGAACGCCGAGTTCACTGCCTCGCTGCTGCACAGCGACTTGATCACGCGTTACAGCATTGCATTCAAAAAGTATGTGCGTACCAAGGAGAAGTCGAGCGCCGTCGAGCGCTGCGAGGCGCTGAGGCGGGCGATGGGGTGGGACGACAACGATATGGCGATAGGAAAGACCAAGGCGTTCCTGAGCTTCACGACCTGGCGCACGCTCGAGGACCCGCTGCGCGAGCGCGAGCGCCTGCTGGTATGTGGCATCAAGGAGGATAACGCAGCGTCAATCCAGGCCGAGGACCTGCAGTCGATCTACGAGGACGACGAGATCGAGCTGTTCCCCGACAGCAATGCCGGCGAGGAGGCCGATATCGCCAGTCTGCTCGAATACAGCCAGGCACTGCAGGAGCACCAGCAGGCCATGAACATGGGCATAGAGGTCGACGAGAACATCCAGGGCGAGGATGACCAGACCATCAACGAGGTGTCAGTCAGCGGCGAAAAGGACAAGATGGTGAAGGGGGCGCGCAAGAGCGCTGAGATCGAGGAAGACGACGACAAGGACAAGGTGACGCCGGCCCGCCGCAATTGGCTGACCATCGTGTGGCTGCTGACGTGGTGGATGCCCAGCCCATGTCTGTCGTGGTGCGGCAAGCTGCGGCGCCAGGACCAGCGCATCGCATGGCGCGAGAAGGTAGCGCTGTGCATCATGATCTTCTTCTGCTGCTGCATCATCATCTTCTGGATTGCCGTGCTCGGCATGCTTATCTGCCCCAAGCAGAACGTCTACACCATCGAGGAGATGCGTGGCCACAACACTGCCGACGACGCGCTGATCGCCATCCGCGGCGAAGTGTTTGACATCCAGGGATTCAACCACATGGGCGTCAATTCCAAGTACCTGGTCGACAACAACTACCCCGGCAGCGACATGAGCGACAAGTTCCCTCTGCAGCTCTCGTTTGTGTGTCCGTTCCCGGACCTGGATCCACGCCTGGCGCTGTCGCCCAAGCCCGAGCCGTACACCGACACGTGGCTGCACGACCACCGGTTCTGGCGCCACCCCGACATGGTCGAGGGCGGATACAACTACTACCAGTACCGCTTCATGCGCATCATGCGCGAGAACTACTACCGGGGCAAGATCGCGACCGAGCCGCAGCGCGTTGAGATGGAGGGCAAGGGCATTGGCCTGCCGAACGGCCAGCGCCGCTACTGGTCAATCGTCAACAACGAGATCTTTGATCTGACCGAGTACATCCAGCGCCGCGGCGCACCGTTCGTTGTCGCACCCGACGGCAAGAGCAACGAGACTACCTCGCGCACCTTCCTCGATGACGCCGTGCAGACCATGTTCCAGATGCACCCGGGCCAGGACATCACCGAGAAATGGCGCAAGCATTTTGCCAAGCGGCCCGTCGCCAAGCGCCTGCACTACCAGTGCCTGCGCGGCGCATTCTACGCCGGTGTTATCGAC